ACACTACAGACCAGTATTTACACAAAGTGGACCATGTATGTTTGGGAAAGCAGAAGTGAAAGTGGCGCTGAGGTGGAGTGGTTGAATGTGAACGTGCGTGAGGGCAGGTTCAAGAATCAGACTGAACCGGGATTCGAGCTCGCAGACTCGGGCGTCACTTGGCGCCGGGCAGGTCGTCGTCGAGCGAAGAGAGGAGCTCGTCGTTGAGCAGATGAGCCGATGCGCCTCGTGGCATGCCGGTCTGTTGGGCGGAGACGAGGCCGAAGTCAGCGCCGGAGACGATGGGGTTGGTGCCGAGCGCGGCCGGTTGCCAGGCGAGACCGGCACTCGAGGCCTGTCGTCGGGAGGCCTCTTGACCGAGCCGACGGGAGATCATCTCGACGGCCAGTTCCACGCTGGCCTGCGTGCCGGACAAGCTGATTTGCCGATTCAACGGCCCCTTGGGCCCGACCTGGATGGTACTGCCGGTCGCCGATTGGACGTCGACCAGATTCCGACCCTGAACACCGAAGATGACGCCCACGAGGCTTTCTGGTATCTGAGAGTGGGAGGAGGGGGCAGGACAAGACAACAGGAGCTAGTCACGTGGCCAGACAGCACCTCGAGAGCGAGCAGAACGAGCCCACGCGACCTTTTTGGGAGAATACCAAATTCAATGCTTATTCGACAAGCCGTTGCTAGGCCTCTTCTCGATGGGAAATTTGACATTTTTCCATTTTTTCATTATGCCATGTAGTCAATCAACTGACTTGCAGTTGAATTTCCCCACAGTCTAAACGGTAGATTGTACCTTCACATACAATTTCACAAAAGCTATCCTCATCCCGACCGGTGCCGACGGCCATTTCAACCTCGCCTCAACTTGCCCCACCAACACGCCCAGCGGGACTCGAACCCGGCATGTTGATCACCATGCCAGACTGCCACGGGTGACAGGACAGAGGGGAACTGCAAGCAAGACCAGATCTAATCCCGTTTGACATTCTGTGGTGGGATTGTTAAAGAGGCAAAGTTGTATTTGCAATAGCGACCGACTACACTACTTATTATTCGTTTATAAGTAGCATGTCTAGACTACCGGTAAATCGGATATATGAGGTGGAATCTTCCCACTCTAGGAAGTGTGGCGTGGTCGCTAATGTCCCGCTGAGGATGTTGATGAGGCCAGTTTAGGCGAGGTCGAAGCTGCAGTCCGGTCCGGCCGATAAGAGAACATCTTATGGGAAAGCAAGGCCGATTGAAAGTGAATGATTGAAATAAATTTAAAATGGGCAATAAAGCAAATTAAATGAACAAAATGCAAATGAAAACAAACGAAGTAATTGAAACGAAACTGGAATGCATATTTTTCAAGCCTCAAGGGTCAATTTCTGAAAAATAAAACGAAAATACACAGTAGACAATTTGACTAATCTGAAAAACATATGAGGACAATAAAATGTAATTAAAATCAAACCAGCACGACAGGCTGGCAAAATTACAAAACTAACCCCTTTAAATATATGAAGACCAAGATGCTGTGGCCTCTGGTGTGCTCGCAGTCTCCTTTCGATGGGTAGAAGTGGATTGACCTCGTTGTCGCAACTTGGTCTTGTTTTCAGGGAGACTATGTAGAACGCCCCTAGTCCGAAGTCGT